GATTGCCTCTGAGGAATGAGGCAGTCACAGTCACACACCAAGAGCAGCTACATATTAATTCCCTCCAACAACAGCCCCTGTCCTTACCTGCTGCAACATGCTCTGCCAGGCCTCGCAAATTCCTTCCGCTCAGTGCCGTGAGGTGGAGGGTGAGGACGACTGAGGGGTTTGTGGGCTTGACGTTGAGATTGTGATGTTGTGTAATTGACAGGTATGATCAAATTCAATGTCTGAAGCAAACATTACACCACCCAATACCATTCTGCACTGAGACGGCAAACATGCTGCTTTCTGGAGCATGAAAATACCTGCCAGCTTGGCGGTATTATTTAGAAGTGACACAGCTATTCATGTGGTTAAATACACAGTGTGCATTTTAGATAAAAATCAATCCTGTGTATAAGATACATGATACAAGACAAATACACAGACTTCATTAGCTTTTACAGCCTTCAATGGGATGTATGAAATGACAGGTTTTGTTGGGTTGGAGGGGCGCAGCTTTGAAGAACCAATAAAAAATAAATAAAGCTGATTTATTTTATATACTGAAAAGAAATAATATTAGATCAACACTCAACAGCTGTCAGCTTCTTTGTTGTGATGGCAGTGAATGAGATGCAGCGCTGCTTTACAAACAGCTGCCCTAAAGCAATCTACAGAACACAACTCTGATCCTAATACACTAAAGTTTTTTTATGTTTTATTTTACAGATTAAAATGTAAAAAAAAAAATATGAAGCAAATTTTTTGCGGCCAGAGTTTATTTTGAATCTTTTTTTGCACAATTTGGCAGACTGACAGCTCCTCCTAGGTTTACCCCACCTCTCTTGAATGTATTGCTGGAAACAGGCACCAGTCAGAAGCTTCATGTTAGTAAGCTTTATATGTTTTAAAATATGTTTTGCTGTCAGGATCGCTGAGTATTTGGAACACCAAATTTTGTCAGAATCAAGCTGTCATAAACAATCAAAGCATTTGTGGAACCGCAATCTCAAGTGTATCATGAATTTGAAACATGAAACGTTTGAGTCACTGTCCACATTTTTTTATTACCATTAACTGAGAGGATGTAGATCAAAAAGGGCTCCCTGTGTCAAAGTCAAAGTGACAAAAAATGTCAGCGGCCCCCATAAATTAAATCCAAATGACCTCAACAGAAAAAGCTTTTTTGATAAAAAAGAAAAAACTCCCTAGTACACATCAGGGCTTCTCCTAAAATAGTTAAAGCAAGATTTAAACCAAAACTCCATGAGTGAATGCAACCTTCTGAACAAAATTGATCCACTTTAATTTGCTAGATTTGAAACCTAAGATAAAAATGTAATTTCCAAAATTGTATTGTTTAGCTAAAATCCTTCCGCTTGATTGCTTTAATGAGCACCTCATTTTAGATTGTTAAGATTCTGTCAGCCTTTGTCCCTGGAAGAATATAAAATTAAAGAGCACAAAGTATGTTTAGCAAGATCTTTAATGAAGACAAAGTTCACAGGACTTATTGGAAAAGAGGATTTGCAGGAAAAAACAAAGAGCAGAGTAAAGAGCCTAGGTGTTGATAAATTAATATAACCTTCAACATTTCTTCAAAGCTGCACAATTGCTGTGTCAAAATTAATTGGAAACCTCTATTTTTGAAGCGAGTGCTGCCTCCTTCATCTCTCTTTATATTTGAAACGCCTTTTAAAAGAGCAGGAGTCAGTAATTGAATTTAGCTTTCTAATCTCCTTTCTCTATTATGCATAGATTTCTCCTCTGCACCTGGGGCCAGCACACTTGCTTTTTTTTTTCCCGCTCTCTTATCTAACTGTGAGTACATACGCTTTCCCCCAGTGGGGGTTAAGCTAATCCCGCTCTGCCAAGCTCATCAGACCCACACACACACACACACAGAAGATCCCCGGAGACGACAGTAAGCCAGACAGTGCCTTGAGCTACCTGCCTGCAACGTAAAACAGGGGGAAGGAGAAGTGAACCCAGACACAAAAGCAAGAATCATGCTTTGGTGTTTCATGAGATTTTAGTACTCGATTACTTAACAGCATCTTTCATCTTTATTAAAGTGGATGCTGAACTGCAAGGTCATGAAGGCAGAGACACTCTGGGTACAGACAGAAAAATAAGAAAGGAAGCTCAGTGAATTTAAGGAAGCACAGGTTTCTTCATACGTGTCTATACATCAAGAGGGATGAGCGATTTGTCACGGCTTGAAATCTGAGAAATCCGAGTGTAAAACAAGCTTTTATGATTACATGCCTCAAAAGCAGGGTATGAAATACTTAATCGAATAATCAATGTAACTAATTTCCATAGAAGTCTTTAACTCTGTCTGGCTTTATTGAAATCACTCTGCATATGAATCATCATAGGAAAGAGGAATTTAAAATGGACTCAAAGTGAAAGCAATGAAGCCTGTACAGTTTATCTTATCTACACTGCATGAGTTCCCATCTGATATGAACCAGGGACCTGAGCAGGCGGTCTCAGCACACAGGATGACAGAGAATAGACAAATACCTGAGGAACAAAAACACAGAGATTTGCTGGCCCTCAAAAGACAAATCAAAAATGTATAAGTAAAGGTAAGAGCTGCATGGTGGCACAGTTTGTAGCACTGCTGCCTTGCAGCAAGAAAGTCCTGGGTTTGATTCCAGGGTCTTTTTTCATGGAGTTTGCATGTTCTCACAAACTAATCATACGATAGACCAAATAAATGAACATGATAGTGAAAGACAAGGAAAAAAAAATAAATTAGAAAAAAGGGTTTTCTGTTAAGAAAAAAAAAAAACAGAGTGGAAGTTTTTTGTGCATTTGTATCTAACCCCCTCTTTACTTATATACTCCTGAATAAAATGTAGTACATGTACTGTTAAGACAATGTTCTGAAGTTATTTAATATCTACACTGTTGTGCTGTTTTTCATTCAAAACATTTCTTAAATAGTCAGTAGATGTTCTGCAAATAGGATTCAGTTGGGCGTTTTTTATTCCTTATCTTTCTTTGTACCACTTGAGATACTTCAGCTATTGGCAAATTTGTTTTGCACTTGTCGGCTCCCCACAGAAAAGCAATTTAATTAATATTAGCAGTAAAATATTTGACTTCTTTATTAAACTAGAATAAACCAGGGAATTATCTTAATTAGGCAAAAAAAAAACCTCAAACCTATCAACTTAAATCCAGAGGCTGTTAGGTTTTAATTACATTATTCAGTTACATAACTATCATGAAAAACTTATTTGAGGACCGCATCATACTTTTTATTCTTCCTTTAGTAATATTGAAACACAGCATTGCTTTTCGGAAGGCAGGACAGAGGACCCAGAATTCAAGGCCGGACAGTGGAATAATTCAAAACGTTTATTGAAAATATACAGAAGTGGAGCTGGCTGTGGGCGCGTGGTAGAAGAGGCTGCGACTGGGCACCAACCATAACTGACAACTCTGGAAGATGATTATCCATGTGAGTCACTTACCTGGTTTAACAGTTCAGTCCATCTCCATTTAACAAGGAAGGATCCAGCCGGTGGGCTGCCAAGAAAATGCGGCTGCAGCCGCAAAGAGTGTCCCATGCTGCAACCCCAGAGAACATGCATGAGTCCAAGACAGGTCAGGGATCGAATCAGAACAGGAACAGACAGATCCAAGGTTCCAGGAATCCATAGATCATTCAGGCAGGTTCAGGATTTCAAGAGCCCATGAGAGAGTTCATGCAGAACGTTCAGATGGGAACAGACACGCTCAGTAGTTGAGAGGCAGAACAAGGCGTGATATCAGGGCAAAGCTATACTACTTTAAAACTACCTCCTTACACCGAGTCAAAACAGGAACAGGGCACACTCAGTGGATAAGAGACAGGACATGATCAGGAACTCTAAGACAAAACTAAAAACCTCTCTCATCACTGGCCTCTGAGAACGAGGACATGAACTAGAGACTCAGCAATGATGTTAACCTTAATGATCTGTCCCCAATAGTTGGGACTATGTCGTATATAAAGAAGCAGGAGCAGGTGGATTAGATGAGTGGTAATTGGAAACCGGGCAGAGTTAGACAGGTGAAAGAAATGAGCAATTAGACCAGCTACTAGAGCAGTGATCATGACATTGCTGCTCTTAATATTTTCACCTACGCTTTCAGCCTAGGTTCAATAATGAATAACCAGATTGTTTTAAACAAATATGTGCCAGACACACATAATAAAGTTTTTAAAAAAATTAATAGTTATGTTTCTAGACAAGATTAGATTTTTTTTATTAATATTACTTCTACCCGCTTAGCCTGCCGTGCAACTGGATGTCTACTAACTACAGAGTAAACAGTATGAACTGTCACTGGAGGTACTTTACATATTTACATTACAAACTGTAAATATGGGTTTCATCAGGTTCATGTTGAGGCCATTTCATTTTGAAAAGTTTTTCGTAATTATATTAGTTATTTGTATTGATCCCTTTTTAAACCTCAATCTTTTAAATTTCACAATTTGCACAGAATTTCATATACTTAACAGCTTTGTAACATTTATTCAAATACCATTGTTTACACAGTACTCCTTGTCACCAAATACTCGAGTTATTTCATATATGGCTACCTCTGATTTTTACTTAAGCAAAGTATAATGAAACAATGCTTTTAAGCATAATTTTGGGGAACTCTACACCTAAACCAAAACATTTTTAATACGTGAAAAAAATGCGTCTATAAATGTAATACTGAACGGCTTCTGTAGTGATGAATAATAGACAGTAGAGGGCGACAAAGCATCACAACACAAAGCTATAGGGTTATTTATACTCCGTGGCTTAAGATGGCTGCAGCGAGAAAGATACCTTAAGAACAGTAAATAGAAAAAAAATCATCTTTTTTATTTTATTTCATTTATTTATTTATTATTATTATTTTTTCTTTTGTGGGAGAATTATCCACACTCCATACCGGTAGATGGCGGTAATGTGCATCAATAAGTTGCTTGCCAACCGCCATAACAAAAGAAGAAGAAGAAAAATGCCTTGTTAGGTAAGTGTCTTTTATTCACGATCAGAAATGACCTGCATGAAGATAATATTTTCCCAAACACGTCGCAATAGAATCGGAGGGCTTTTTGGAGTCGCTCTCTTCTCTGGTAGATTTTTCCACGCGGAGCTCGTAAGAACCAAAGATTTGATTGAATAATTTACAGATTGTTGCAAAAACAGTGAAGCAAGAGTTATGTTTCTGTTCCAGCCTATAAGTCTAACTGCTGTCTGCCCCTCAGATCAGATCCGAATCCAGCGCACTGCCTGTAATTCATCACAGCAAGTATGTGTGCGAGCTTCCCTCTAACCACAGGTTCCCAATGGCAAAGTTCCCAAGAGTTTTACACTTTTTACTGCAAGACCAAGTCATCACAGAGGAACAGGTGACAACAATAATAATAATTACTATTATTATAATCATCCACAAAACTCTCTCTTCTTTTTTTTCTTTTTTTACAAGGAAAACTAATTTTTGTTAATTTATTCTTAACATGCAGGTGTCCAGGCTTTATAAAGGTCTTTATCACCCCTTAGCAAAAAGTAGTTTATTCAAATGTACTAAAAGTGCACTAATTTCATACTTAAAATCAGGCAGTGCACTTAGAGTTTACTTATTCTAAACTATATTTCATATACTTAACAATAGTATAGTCAAGTGTACTTGACTATACTACTGCTTACTAAAGTATACTTTAAGTATACTTTAGTAAACTTAAATGTCCCATACTTCAAGTACACTAAAAGTACATTGTTCGGGTATACTTTCTAAACTTATACTTAAGTATTCTTAATAGAATTTACTTCAAGTATACTACTTTTTGCTAAGGGACTGGCTGCTTTTCTCACCAATTTTCATGCTTATTTATTGTACCTAACTATTTATAGTGCATCTGTTTGAGTTTAGAGTGAAAAGTTTCCTGTAAGGAACAGGAAGCCTATAGAATAACACACATAAAAAACTGGTATAGGGCCACATTAAATCTTTTATGAACTCTTTTAATGTTTATCATACACAGGGGCGGAGCTAGATGGGGGGCCATGGCCACCCTTTGCCAATCTGTGGCCACCCCTACAATTTTTTTCCCTTCTAATACAGATGGTGGCAGCAGTAAAACTCTCAAGTGGAATATTCATTTCAATTTTTCATATATTACTCACTATTTTTTCATGTATAATTTCTTCACAATAAAAACACTGTGGTTAATTATGAACATCAATATACTAACTTTAAAGATTCAGAACTAGATTTTGTGTTATATGGGGTAAAGAGAAAATTATGTGTCTCTGCAAGTCATCTAGGAGTGTTCAGTGAAATCATGGATAAATAACTATTTTAATAAAAACATATTAAATAATTAATGTATGTAGATATTTGTACTTGTAAATATCAATTTTATGCAGAATGATTATTGATAAAAGTAGGTAAGTAATGACAATAAAAAAATGATGTTTGCCGAGGCCGACTGGGGTTAAAGGAGACGGAAGCAGAGATACAAAAAGCAGCTGTAACAGTTGACATAACAGCAATACTTCGCAAAAGTTCACATGCCTTGAGTTTTTACAGATTTTAGTAGAGCTAACACAAGGTAGTGCTCAAGGGATATAAAAATCAGAATTGGAAAAATAGGGAAATTTTCTGTTCATTTGCATCTCCGTCCTCCACAGTAGGTGTGGATTCCAGAGATTGCATCGAAGGATTTGCTCAGCGGTGTGCACTCTGAGGATTACCTGAACAACTTTTTAAATGGGAGAATAAATGAGCAAGAACAGCGAAGGACAGGATTCCCCTGGAGCGAGGGCATCGTGCAGAGGTGTCGATATGAAACGGGTAAGAAGTACAAAGTTTGTGCAGAAGACCCAACTACTTACATATATTTTATAGAGATGCTCTTAACCACACTGAGTCTCCTGATAGGTGGGACTGTTCTTGCTGCTGAAGTTGCTCTGCAGAGGGGTCTGGCATGCAGTACGGCAGGGGGAACCCATCATGCTTTTCCCAGCTACGGCTCAGGGTTTTGTCTCCTCAATGACTTAGCAGTAGCAGCCAAATACATCAATGACAGTTCACCAAGGAAAAGGAAAGTTCTAATCGTGGATTTGGATGTGCATCAGGTGGAGTTTAAGTCCTTTTTGCATCGATACCACCATTAAGTTTCATTTTATAGCATTAACTTTTCCCTAACCTCTATGTTTTTTGCCCTGCAGGGTGACGGCACTGCCTTTATATTCAAAGAAGAGCCTTCCGTATTTACGTTTTCGGTGCACTGTGGGAAAAATTTTCCCATCCGCAAACAACAGAGTGACCTGGATATCAGTGTGGACGATGGGATGGAGGATAAGGACTATCTCTCCACAGGCAAGTTCACAAACACCATAATTATGTATCTTAAATTCTACAGCAAGTTTATGTGGTGATGTAAAATGTGAACTTGTACTAAAAAGCAGAGAAATATTTTAACTTTAAAATACAGTATTGATTTTAATTATTAATGGTTTAAATAAACCATATTTCTGATTCTGTCATCAACAGTTGCAGACCACCTTCCCTGGCTGCTGCAGACTTTTCGTCCAGACTTGGTTCTGTATGACGCCGGTGTTGATCCGCATTGGGAAGATGAACTCGGAAGACTCCGTCTAACAGACCAAGGTACGTTTTTCTTCTCGCTTTCATTCAGATACCTTTACACACTCCTGAAATGTTCCAGAAGAACACAAAAGACATAAGCCAATTTTCTACATCTCAGCAATAAAATGTTTTGGGCATCAGAAGATGAGATGTTGCAAATCATCTCAGGTAGCCTCACATCTTATAAGCCAATTGATTGACTTTATGTATTTTTTTTTTTATATTATGAGTATTACACAGGGTTGTTGCACAGGGTGTTTACATGAGTAAAAATTATTTATATATATATATATAGTTATTGCACTGGGTGTAAAATAGTAATTACACATTATACATTGCAAAAGTTATGGTCGTTTTAGTGTCGCAATTGTTTTGAAGCAGTTGATCCTTTTCTTGATTTTTGCTAATATGGGTAATAAAACCCATTAGCTTTAATAATAGCCCCATAAGCTCTGTGGACAGACGCTGACCTGGCACTAACTTCTACATATAAACAGCTGCAAATGCCAATTCACTGCAATAGAAAAATCCTCTGATGTGCTAAATGCAAAAAAAGCCTGAACCAACAGGTTTCTTAGCTTACTTTGATAAGTAGAGCTCAATATTTCTTTTCGGGGCTGTTTTTGTATTAGTATTACAAGATATAGAAACAGTGTTCAAATTATTTTATCTATACCATCCTGCCATGAGAGGTAATTAATTAATTATTTATTGTTGGAACAGAAGCAGATTCCCACCATATGAGAGAACAGCTGCTGTCAAACAGGATTTGACTCATTTAAAACAAACAAAAGATTTCCAAAGGTCACCTTTAGCATCTTATGTTGGTAAGTTAGCATTGTTAGCTGCCAACCTGTTTCTCTGTATTCCATAAAGAATACGAACCCTCATTCTAGAGATTTCCATAAGCATTAGAATTGAGCAGCTTTGCTGCAGTATATGTTCTGCTATCGGCTGCTCCACCGATCTGTAGGAACATTAAACAGCAAAGTACAAATGTTTTGTGTTTCCTCTGATCGCATTTTCAAGTCCATCAGTTAGATCTAAAACAGGTTTGCTTTGGTTTTCACCCTGCAGTTATGATTTTCACACTCAATAGTGTTTTTGTTAGAGCAACTTTTTGGCGCGTTCAAGTGTGTGCTCCACTCATCGGAAAGATTTTAGAGTTTTTGAACCCTTTAAAGATCGTCATACCTGAGTTTGGTCACCAGATGATCTCCAAGAGCCGTACTGATAACAGTTTCTTCCAGGGCTGTACCAGAGGGATCTTTATGTGATGAAGACTGCGGTGAGCGCAGGTGTTCCTGTCGCTACCGTTATTGGCGGAGGATACTCTAGAGACATCGACAAACTGGCCCTCAGACACTCCATTGTCCACAGAGCAGCTTCTGAGGTGAAAAACTATCAGCTGTTTTAAGAAAGAATCATTTTTGCAGATAAAATGAGTGGTTATTGTATTTTTTTGTTCTCACTCTTTCAGGTTTGGAGGGAATGTGGAATGTGAAACCGTGTCAAAGACCTTTTAAACTGTGACGTTTTGGAAAAAACAACAACTTTGTAATGGATTAAATGTGTCTTTTCACTATTGTGGACTTTCAATAAAGTCGTCCCCCTGTGGCTGAAATTTTACTTTTCTTTTTAATTAAACACATTGCTGCAAACATAAAAAGATTTCTCATATAACAGCTGATATTGTATAAAAAAAAAGTCTTGGGAAAAATTGCAGAATTCAGTAAACTGATGCTCTACTTCCACTAAAGCTTTTTTGACTTGTGGACAGTCTTTATATATGCTTCTTATGTAATAGTCTTAAATTAAGAAATGTCTTAAAAGGTCTAATTCAATAAAACGTAGATTCCCCATTCTTATAAACATTTTAAAAAGAGGGACCAAGGTGGGATTGTAGCAGAGAAGCCTCACAATCCAGACCCGCAGACCTTTGCTGCATGTCTCCTTGCCTGTCATCAAGGCCCTTACGGGGCCAAAGCCACATAATTGGGAAAAAAACAACAAAAAATAGCTAGAATATGGTATTAATGGTAAAGATGTTTTGATGCTTATCAAACTTGATTTTTTGAGAGATATTTACAGTATCTGATATTCCAGAGGAGTCGTGACCCAAAAAGTTGAAAGCATTTCTAATGCTCATTAAATGGTCCAGTAGCTAAATGAATGCTGGCTAAGTATCAGGAAGGACACACAAATGGAACCTCGATGCCTGAGGCGAAAGTCATTAAGTCAGAATCCTTAAACTCGGCTCTTCAGTAGCATCTTTATTGCTTCATTTGAATTCCTTAGCAGTCGAATATGCGGGGAAATTCTCATTTCCATTTCACACTTTTTAGGCCATAGACACAGCAGAGTGAGAACCAAAAAAGAAAAAAAAAAGAGAAAAATTGTAAGTTTCAAAACAGTAACTGCACAGAAATGGTGGTATTACTTCAGTTCTGACTGTGCTACTGTAACTCATTAACCTCTTAGACTTATTCATTTATTATTATCCTTTACTTATACAAGTAAAAAACAAATGCAGTCTCTGGTCTTTTTGTATATTTTGTAAAGTGATTGTGTCACTGTTCTGCTCTGATTATGTGAACAGATATCCCTCATCTGTGTGCATTGCTATTCACTGGCATGTAGAATAAGAGAACAGACAAAGGGGAGATCTATATAGAAAGTTTCAAGTCAGAATGTCTACTAGCATGCAATGCTTTAGCAGCAGCTTAGAAAGCTTAACACCAAGAAAAAAAAAAAAACAGTGATTGAATACATCTAATCTCTTTAGGTATTGGTAATGTATGTTCAAATGGAGTGTGTAATCAAAAAAAAATAAAAAAAACAATATAAACATATTATATGGATCTAAATTAATCTTAAATTGTGTTAAATGTACCAAATAAGGGAAATGCTAATCTGGAATCAGATATTTTTTAATACTGATCATATCAGATCTAAATAGCACAAATATTCAAACTGAAAAAGCAGGGGTACTAATACGATGTCTTGTTGGATGCCTTTGGATTCCTGACAAAAATATTCATGAGAAATTGTCTTTTATGCGCTCTGATAAATACTTAATGACTGCAACATAATTATGAGCAAAATAACTGAATAAGAGCAAAGACATTAAGAATGATAAAGTACCCATACTACATTGATCCACACACACTTTTATTAAAAAGAAATGCATTCTTCTTGGCACAATGACAAAATATAAGCATTTAAACATTTAAGTGTCACTTTTTTCATGCCATGTATTGACATGAAGCAGTGACATGGTAGTGGTACAGTGCAATGTTTCATTCACAGTTAATGAGGCAGTTTATTTGCTGAAATTTTCAGCTCGTTATGAGACATTATGCAGCTGTTTCTGATATTAGCATCTAACACAAGAAACACCAGGATTTTAGAAGACCTTCTAAACAGTTCAGAGCACTAACTGGAAAATAAATGACTTACAGTTTCTTTCAAAAGTATTCATACCCCAAAGTTCAATATAATTTATGTATGATTTAATAACAGACAAACACAGTAGCACATTTTTAAATTAAAATGATGAAGATTGGCTTATATTTTCACTCTGAAATCATGTAGAATCATGTTGTGGGTTTGCCAGATTTTTTTTTGTTTTTTGGGATTTTTTTAAATAAAAATAAACTTAGCATCATATCTCTATTGCTTTAGGATTAGGTACTACCATCACACAAAAATCCAAAATAGAACACATCAAAGTCTGTGGTTTTCACTTATAAAGATGAAAACATTTTGAAGGAATATTAATACTTTTGTAAGGAACTGTATGAGTCTTTATGAGACATCTAACATAGAACAGTTATGGATGCCTGCTGTTCGTTTAGCTCTACATACTAGGAGGTAATAACCCAGTATTCAAATAAAAAAATACATTAAAATATCACCACAGAAATAAACCAAAAACCAAAAGCAATGGAAATTTATACTGTCAATCTGTCTTATGTTGCTTTCAATTTCCCCCTTAAAAATGGAAAATTATGCAACCATCATCATCTCCCTTTAAAAAAGTCCTTTTTTAAAAGCAATTAAATAAATAGAAAAATTAAAGGTGGGACACAAGAGCCCCATTTCCACCCTCTTGCCTTTATACAGAATACCTACTTTAAAAAAAGGATTTGTATTATGCCTGTATCTTAATCAGTGCTAATAAAATTGTAAAATCATACCTTTCTCAGTAGAGAAGTTCAGCAGAGTGTCAGAGGCCTGATGGAAGCTACAGCTGCACATTTACAGACATTTTATTCCCTAAAAGTTTCAGTGTTGATGCAAGTGGTACAGTGCTAAAAAGTTGGGCTAATCACCCTGATTTAAAATCAGATTTTCCATAACTGAACCTTCTCTGCCACCACACACCAGTTGGCATGGTCAAAGTAGCTGTGGATCACATGGAGCTCTTCAACGTGATGCTCTATGAGCTCTGCCAGCTCTCCGTCTCTAAAGACATGATAGTACCTCAGACAGGAACCTTCCACCTGCTCCTCGCTCCCCTCAGGACTCTGTGTCCCTTCGTGTTGCTGTGTTTCTATGGTCTCCTTGATGCTTTGATCTTCACACTCCTTCATATCCTCCCGCTGGAAGGAAATAAGATCTGGCAGAGCTAGTGAGCCACACTCTGGAGCCAATGATATTGAGATGCTTTTATTTTCTCTGCCATTACTGTAGGTTGGGTTACTGGGGCCTCCTGGATCAGTCTGACCTTTGTGTGGGTCCATGTCTGAGTCAAAAACATCCTCCTCTGATCCGATTGCAGATGGAGGGGAAAAAAAACTTGAGACCTGCTTGATGAGGCTTCGTCCTCTCGCTCGCTGGTTGGTCTTACTCCCCTCATTTTCATCTGCGGGTGATACTAAATGCCTCAGGTCTCTGGATGATGGCCAGGAGATAGCTAGGCTTCCAAAGTCAAACACCGAATCCAGAGACCTGGAGAAGAACCACAGTTTCTGCGTCTTCTTCTGCGGCAACGGCTGGGTCACATCTTCGTCTGCCACAGAGGACGTGCTTCTAACCTTCCTGTAATTTTCAGTGCTGTCTAGAATTTCACTCACACTCTGTGCTGTGGCTCGTCTTCTGGGTTTGGCATCTTCTCTGTTGAAGCCGGAAGTCAAATGAGGGTTGGGGTTCCAGGGAACGAAGATGTCTTGTTTTTCAAATTTCCTCCGTTTCTGCTCCATGGCCCACACGTAGATCATGATGCGTCCTCCAACCCGCAGAGTGCGAGCCATCTCCTTTATTGCCCGAATGCGACGCTCTTTGGTGGAAAAATGATGGATGACTGTGCAAAAACAAAGAGTATTTTTTCAAAACATATCCCTAACTGTGAAAAGAGAATATTTTTCAGAATATATTCCTTAACTATGCAAAAACAAAGAGCATTTTACAGGATATATCCCTAAATGTGCAAAAACAAAGAGTATTTTTTCAAAACATATCCCTAAC